CATATCACCGCGCATCATGACATACCATTGCTTAGCATAGCATAGCGTCTCATATCATCTCATAGCAAAGCATCGCATAGCTCAACATAACATATCATATCATATCATAGCATGGCGCAGCATAGCATGGCATATCATCGCATAGCATACCGTAGCAACTCATGCTGCTTTCCTGGGGGCTCCAACTTCTAGGTAGGGTCGCACTGGAGTAATATGCTCCGCCTCCCTCTTCCCTTTTTCCTCCTGTTCCGCAGTGCGGGGCGTGCTTGGCTTGGCGTTTCGCGCCCCGCGCGCCGTCCGCAGTGCGGTCGGGCCGAGATGTAAGGTCGAGGTCGGTTCGGGGAGGGTGCCCTTCCGTTTTTCGTGTTTGTGAACTGTTTTTGCGCATCCTGGGGGGGGGGCCTTCGGATGTTCTTCAGTTGAGCTCGCGGGGGGTCTCGTGTTCCGTCGTCGTCGTCGCCATCTTTGACGTGTTCGGGATTCTTTGGTCGGGATACAGCATCCCCCCGCTAATCGGGGTATTCCCCATTCTTTCCCCCCCGCGGTGCGGTATGTTCCCCAGGACCAACTCCTGAGCGACAGCGCCCCCGCCTCGGCGTCGATGGCCTATAGGCCCGGCGGGGTGTTGGCGCACGGTGCGGGGTGGCTGGCACGCCGCGGGGTACAGTCGTTTACGGATAGTTCAACGAAAATCCCCAGGGAAAACACCGGTCTTGGCCTAGGGTGCGTCTCTTGTCCCCTCACCTCTTGTTGCCTGCTTGGTCCTTCTCTTCCTTGCCCCTCTCCGCCCTCCACCTTCCCCCGGCTCTTCCGGATCGGTTTGTTTTCCCCGTCGTGGCCGCGCGCAGGAATACAACGCGCCCGACTTGTCTTTTGTCGCCGAAGTGGCGGGCAATCAGTTCACCGTCGCACAGGCGCCGACGGAGGAGGCGGAAGAGCTACAAACCCTCCGGTGAATTTTCTCAGACCAGGGGCGCGTGCATGTTTCTCATGTTCGTCACTTCGTGCGATGGTACGGGTGGGGTATCGAGTCGAGCTTGAGCGCATGCCAAATGGCATCCTGGAGCTTATTGACGTCAAGACTCGTTCCGACTTCATGCGCAGGCAGGCAGTTGGAACTAGAAGCATGCGATCTGGGTTTGGCTGGCGAGGACAATCATTGGTAGGGCCGGTATGAAGGATGATGACTGATGACGAGGAGGAGAGGCGGGAGGACAATGAGGAAGCTGAGAAAGAGCAGGGACGATGAAGGTGACGATTGTTGGCGACTGTGGGAAACAGCGGTGGCGTCGGTGAGGAGGATGCCAATGATGACGAGTATCGCAATGATGGTCATAAGTGGTGATGATGGTCATTTTGACGATCGGATCGTTATTCTTATCAGAACTATGCTCATGACGATGGTGTGTTCTAACAGGTGGACGAGACGCCATCGGTGCGGCATTCATTGAAACAGTGCTAAGCAAAGACGGCTGATATCGCTAAAGCACATTATGTCGTCCATGAGTTTTTCAGAGTGCTATCCCATCCGCGTTTGAAGTTGAAGTGCTGGCATCAAAACCTAGCCTAGATTGGCTTAGTCAGGCCGTACCGTAAACCTGCCTGGGCAAGGGTTCGTGCGCGCCGCGAGAGGACGAGGACAAGGAGGAGGAGGAGGAGGGGATATACGACGGAAGAGAGGAAAGATAATGCGGAGACAGGGGGGGGAAGGAAGAGGGGGAAGAAGGATCAGTGATGATGCTGATGATGCTGATGATGCTGATGATGCTGGTGGAAGTGGTGGTGGCGGCGGTGATTGTGGTGGTGATGATGATGATGCTGATGATGATGGTGGTGATGATAATTGTGCTGATGATGGAGATGATGAGGGTGAGGACTATTACGATGATGATGCTCATGATGACGCCGATGATGGTGATGATGATGATGATGGTGGGGAGGATTACGATGATGCTGCTGCTGATGATGCTGATGATGTTGATGATTATGGTGGTGATGCTGATGCTGATGATGATTACGACGACAACGATGATGATGATTATGCTGAAGGTAGTGGTGGTAGTTGTGGCGGCAGTGATCGTGGTGGTGATGATGATGTTGATGATGATGGTGGTGATGCTGATGGTGGTGATGACGATGATGCTGCTGATGATGATGTTGCTGCTGATGATGATGGTCGTGATAGTGATCATGTTGATGATGATGCTGCTGATGCTGATGCTGATGCTGATGCTGATGATGATGACGATGATGATGATGCTGAGGAGGAGGAGGAGGACGATGATGCAGATGATGATGATAATGCAGATGCTGATGCTGCTGATGATGCTTATGATGATGACGATGATGACGATGATGATGATGCTGATGTTGATGCTGATCCTGATGATGATGTTGATGCTGATGATTATCACCGTGATGATGATGATGCTGATGCTGCTGCTGCTGATGATGATGATGATGATGCTGATGCTGATGCTGATGATGATGATGATGCTGATGATGATGATGCTGATGATGGTGATGATGATGATGATGATGATGATGATGATGATGATGATGATGATGATGCTGATGCTGATGCTGATGCTGATGCTGATGATGATGCTGATGACGATGCTGGCGGGGATTTGGAGAAGGATGAGGATGAGGATGAGGAGGAGAAGGAGGATCATGTGGATGATGATGATGATGCTGATGATGATGATGATGATGATGATGATGATGATGATGATGATGATGGTAATGCTGCTGGTGTCGATGACTGTGGTGGCGATGATTCCATCGCTGTCGTTGACGCTGATGCTACTGCTGCTGCTGCTGACGATGATGAGGTGGATGAGCAGTAGCTTGGTGGGTAGGGGAGGAGGATGCCGGATAGGAGATGGATGATGGGGGCAAATGGGGGATGGACGGGGGAAGGGGGATATGGAATATTGAAACAGGGGCGGGGGAATGATGGAGACCCGACAAGATAACAGAGGATAGATGTATGAACAAGAAAGATGGGGCTAACTGCGATGAGCGAGGGAGGAGGGACGCTAGAGGTGGGAGGTGGGGAGAGGGATGAGGGAGAAGGAGGAGGATGATGATGATGATGATGAGGATGAGGAGGAGGAGGACGAGGAGGAGGAGGAGGAGGAGGAGGAGGGGGAGGAAGGAGGAAGGAGGAAGGAGGAGGAGGAGGAGGAGGTGGAGGAGAAGGGAGTCGAGGAGGAGGAGGAGGAAGGAGGAGGAGGAGGGGGAGGAGGGAGAAGGGGAGGAGAAGGAGGAGGGGGAGGAATCATCAGAAAAAGAAGAGGAGGATGAGGGGGATAAGGGGGAGGAGGAGGAGGAGGAGGAGGAGGAGGAGGAGGAGGAGGGGGAGGAGGAGGGGGAAGGGGGGAGGGGGAGGACGGAGGAGGACCAGGGTTAATCCAAGACGCATCACCGATATTGTAATAGACCCTCCCTCCAAGTATCCTCATAGAAGGCTAGAGTGTGTTTTCATTCTGTGGTGTGGCCCATGAAACAAATAACCGTCTTTGACTCTGTAATCGTGCCCAAGCACCGTTCCTGGGAGTTAGACGTCGCGGTTCAATGTGACCTTTGCACCTTGACAATCTTGAATCGTGCCTAGAAACCGTTCTTGGGACTTCATCACTGCATATCAAGTCTAAATCGTGCCAGAACAGTATTCCTGGGACTTCGATCACGCGAATGCTTGACACGGCTGCGAACTGTTGTAGCTGTAATGTGTGCGGTGCTAAGGCGAGGGCCACATTCTGAACGCCAACCGCCCTCAATCCGGGAAGCTTGCGCACACTTTTAAGACGGATGTGCGCGGCGTTACGGCGAGAGCCATATTTCGAAGACGAATGTGCACGGTGCTAGGGCGAGGGCCACATTTTGAAAACGGCCCGCCTTCCATCCGTGAAACAGTCGAACACTTTTAAGACGGATGTGCGCGGCGCTAAGGCGAGGGCTACATGTCGAAACGGTCGCAGTTCTCAAGCTCCAGGGTTATACACGGCGAGGAAGTTTCAGGCGACGTGTCTGGCCCGCCCTACGGACATGTCGTGGGGTGCGACAGGCGGTTTATTTATGAGGACAAGGGATGGAGGAGGAGGAGGAGGAGGAGGAGGAGGAGGAGGAGGAGAAGTAGGAGGAGGAAGAGGAGGAGGAGGAGGAGAAGGAAGAGGGGGATTGGGGAGGGAGAGCGAGAAGGAGCGTGGCGGAGAAGGAGGCGGGTGAAACGCAGATCAGATTTTCACCCTGTCCCGTTTTTGTTCGAAGTTTCTTTCGGTGCAAGAAAGAGATGGGAGAGGGGGGATATGTCAGGGAGGGTAGAGGGGAAGGAGGAGTGGGGGTTGATGGGGTGATGGGGACTGACGGGGGATACAGGGGCTGGGGATCCCAAACCCTGTATCCCACCTTCAATCCCCTTCCCAGCCTGGGATTGGATGTGAGTGGACGACACCGACGAAGATGGGAAGGGGGAGGACCTGGAGTGGTTCGAGACCTCAGGCGTGTCATCCAGTCGTATGATCGCAGTGAAGACTGCCTCAGTGCTGCAGGGACCTCTTGGCGCTGTCTGGCGCGAGCGCAGTGAGAGAAGGGGATCCAGGGTGAGCGCACGACAGCAGGAGGATGCGAAGATGAGGAGGAGCATACGGAGGCGGAGGAGGAAGAGGCGGCGGAGGAGGAGGAGGAGGGAGAACAAATCTGCTGTGAAAGCAGCGGCGGGTTTTTCGGCGAGTCGCGCGCGGAGGTCCTCGAGATGGAGCTCTGGGCGCTCAGGACACGTGCTCACTGCGTCTCCGTGCTCTGTACCCTCTGCGCGCGTGCTCGCTCGCGAACGCGCGAGCGTGCATGGCCGTACGCAGGCGTGAACCTCCACGCGCGCTCCCGTGCGTGATCGCATGCACCCTTCGCCGCTTCCGCTTCCTCGCCCCCTCTCAGGGTCCCGTTTCCGCGCGGCGCGATCTCATGAGGTGCCGCCGCTGCCCAGCTTCTTTGACCCCGCGGGTGGTGTTACAGCGCGGCGCTGGCAGACCAGGTAGGCACACGCGTGCGTGCGCGCTGCACGGTTTCATATCTCTTGTGCTTCTGTACTTCCTCGTGCTTCGCGCCCCTGATCCTCGCCCCGTCGGGGAATCGGGGGTGACCCCCGCACTCTTGGGCGGCCCCGATCAACTCGTGCAGGGTGTATCCACTTTGGAGCATGATGGTGATGGTGATGATGGTGGTGGTGATGATGGTTATGATGATGATGATGATGATGATGATGATGATGATGATGATGATGATGATGATGATGATGGTGATGGTGATGGTGATGATGGTGGTGATGATGATGATGAGGGTGATGCTGATGATGCGAATGATGATGATGCTGGCGATGGCGGCGATGGTGATGCTGATGATGACGAAGATGCTGATGATGATAGTGGTGATGCTGATGATAGTGGTGATGATGATGTGATGATGATGCTGATGTTGATGACGATGAGGATGACCATGCTGAGGATTGCGATGCTGATGACGATTATGACGATGATGATGATGATGATGATGATGATGATGACGGCGATGCAGATATTGATGACGAGGATGCTGATGATGATGATGGTGATGGTGATGACGATGATGCTGATGATGAGGATGAGGATACGGGTGAGGATGAGGATGAACCTGAGGATAAGGATGCTGCTGCTGCTGATGATGATCAGGATGATGATGATGCTGATGATGATGATGACGATGATGATGCTGATCATAGTGATGGTCATGCTGCTGATGGTGCTGATGATGATGAAGATGATGATGATGACGATGATGATCATGCTGATAAGTATGATGAGAATTCGGATGATGATGATCATGACGATGATGATGATGATGATGATGATGATGATGATGATGATGATGATGATGATGATGACGCTGATGATGATGATGATGATGATGATGGTGATGATGATGATGGTGTTGCTGCTGCTGCGGATGAAGATGCTGCTTGATGAGGATGATGATGATGATGATGATGATGATGATGATGATGATGATGATGATGATGATGATGATGATGATTCTGATGATCATGATGATGCTGATGCTGATGCTGATGCTGCTGATGATGATGATGATGCTGATGAGGATGCTGCTGATGATGATGCTGATGATGATGACGACGATGATGATGATGATGCTGCTGATGATGATGCTGCTGCTGCTGATGATGATGATGAGGAGGAGGAGGAGGAGGAGGAGGAGGAGGAGGAGAGAGAGGAGGAGGAGGAGGAGGAGGAGAGGAGGAGGAGGAGGATGAGGAGGAGGAAGTGGTGTGGTGGGGTGGTGGTGGTGGTGAGGATGATGGGGATGAAGCTGATGATGCGGATGGAGGAGGAAGAGGATAGGCATGAGGAGCAGGAAAAGGAGGAGGAGGAGGAGGAGGAAGATGTGGAGGGAGGAGAAGGAGGAGGAGGAGGAGGAGGAGGAGGAGGAGGAGGAGGAGGACGAGGGGGAGGAGCAGGAGGACGGGGAGGAGCGGGAGGACGGGGAGGCGGAGTAGGACGGGGAGTAAGAGAAGGGGCAGAAAGGGGTAGCGGCGCTGATCCTTGGAGGGACCGGCCCCTGGAGCGAAGAGGAGGCTCGAGTCTCGGTGGAGCGCAGGGCGGAGCTGCCGGGGGAGGGATCGCTCCCTCGCACGCTGCGCCATCGCCGTGCGGCAGGTGCAGGCGGGCTGTGAATCGCGCTGCTGCCGTTGCGTGCGTCTTGCACGTCGGCGCGGGTCTGGATCGAATCGTCCAGAACTGAGGAGGGGCGCGCATGTTTCGGGGGTGGACAGAAACCCCACACGTCGATTGGTGAATTGTCCGTTGTCGGCTCTCGAGAGGGCGCCGCGGCCGTCATTTCCCAGGCTTGTGCCCGCCAGGTTTGGGCCCTAGGTCGTTTTCACTAAACCACGTTCTACTAAGGGGGTTCTGTCCATGCCCGAATGTTCTGCAGACAGCACGGTTGGCTGCATGTCGCCTTCTCCCTTCGTGGATGCATGGGACGGAGGGGCTTTGTCAGTTGGGGCAGGAGGCACACTTGTGGCTCGGGAAAGAGCCAGTGACCGAGCAGAGTCAAGAGTCCGATCTCCAGGACTCTGGACTACCGCCTTCACTTGCCGACGGCCGTGCACCACTTGGGCTGGTGCCTGCCGCAGTTTTATTTAATCGATTCGCTCATTCCGCCGGCCCATATTGCCTCGCCGCTGTCGTTTGTCGGGGTGTTGTTGTCAATGCGGTGCGGTTGGGCGGCTGCCATTGTTCGGAGGCGGTGGGTGGCGGGTCAGAGGCCTCACGGATGTTGGTTGGGCTCTCGTGGTTGGCCTCTCAGGGGCCCTTTGGGAGGCAGTTTTGAGGCCTCTTGGGGGCCGTGTTGTGGCCGTGTTGGGGTCTCTTGGGGCCTCTTGGGGCCTCTTGGGGCTTTTTGGGGTGCCTCTTGGGGGCCTCATGGGGCCTCTGGGGGGCCTCTTGGGGCCTCCTGCGGGCCTCTTGGGACTGAAGGCTGGACTTTTCGATTCCTGATCACCTTTTCGGGCCCCTCTTGGGGCCGTTTTGGGGCCCTCTTGGGCCGTCTTGGGCGCCTCTTGGGCTGTCTTGGGGCCATCTTGGGCCGTCTTGGGGCTGTCTTGGGGTCCTCGTGGACCCTCTTGGGGCGATCTTGGGAGCCTCTTTGGCCATCTTGGAGCGTCGGGAAGCCGAAAAAGGATAAAGCCGAAAATGTATCCCAAATTCAGGGAAAATCAATGCATTTTGCCTTTTGGGGCTCTCTGTGGAGAGCTTTTGGACGTCTGGAGGCCATGGTGGGCGTCTTGGAGCGATCTTATGGCATCGTCGGCCGATCTTTCGAGGGCTCCAAGGGCTCTTGGACCGTCTGGGCGCTCTCTTGAGGCCGTCTTGGACGTATCTTGGGCCGTCTGGGGGACCTCAGGCATCTCTGGCAGGCACTTGCCGGGACTTTGGCGGGGTACTTGTCGCGTCGGGGCCCCCAGTGGCCGCCTCGCGCGCGCGAACTTGTTAAATTGTTAACTTGTTACCGGAGATCTTAGCATGCCTCTGGCCCGTTGGGCCGGCGAATTACCAAGCATTTTGCAAGAGAGAATACGCACACGCATGTTGTGGGAGTTAAGTGCCACCTCCGCACGCCTACTTCGTGTACCCACCGTTTCGTACTGAGCATCAGAGGGTCGGTTTTTGAGACAAAAGCTTTGGAAGATACGCTTAAGGCGAACGGGCTGTTGGAGGGCACCACGACGGCACAGCAGGAAGGCAACTCACCCCACCGCCCGCCGAGAGGGATGATGATGATGCTGCTGCTGATGATGCTGATGCTGCTGCTGCTGCTGATGATGCTGATGCTGATGCTGCTGCTGCTGCTGCTGCTGCTGATGATGATGATGATGATGATGATGAGGATGATGATGATGATGATGATGATGGTGGTGACCATGATGACGCTGCTGATGAACCTGATAATGCTGATGATTATGATGATCGTGATAATGCTTCTGATGATGACGATGATTATGAGACTTCTGATGCTGATGCTGTTGCTGCTGATGATGATGACGATGCTGATGATGACGATGATGATGGTGATGATGCTGCGGACGATGATGATGCTGATGATGATGATGCTGATGCTGCTGATGATGATGATGATGATGCCGATACTGATGCAGATGCTGATGCTGATGACGATGATGATGCTTCTGCTGCTGCTGATGATGATGATCATGGTGGTGGTGGTGGTGGTGATGTTGAGGAGGACGATGAGGATGATGCTGCTGCTGATGTAGCGGCGGATGGTGGTGCTGATAATCATGAGGTGGGGGATGATGCTGATGATGATGTTGTTGATGATGACCATGATGCTGAATGATGCTGCTGATGCTGATGCTGATGCTGATGCTGATGCTGCTGCTGATGATGAGGAGGATGATGAGGATGACGATGATGATGATGCTGATGATGCTGCTGCTGCTGATGCTGCTGCTGCTGCTGCTGCTGATGATGATGCTGTGTGCTGATGATGATGCTGCTGATGATGATGCATGATGATGGGAGAAGAGGAGGCTGAGGATGGATGAGGATGAGGATGAGGCATGATGTGATGATGATGCTGATGATGATGATGATGATGAGATGATGATGAAGATTGAAGATGAGATGATGATGATGATGAATGATGATGATGGAGATGATGGAGGAGGGAGGAGGGGAGGAGGAGGAGGAGGAGGAGGAGGAGGAGGCGGATGAGGAGGAGGAGGAGGAGAGGAGGAGGTGAGGAGGAGGGAGGAGGGGCGGAGGCGGAGGAGAGGAGGAGAGGATGCGGAGGAGGAGAGGCGGAGGAGGAAGGAGGAGGAGAGTGGAGGAGGAGGAGGAGGATGAAGAGGAGGAGGAGGAGGAGGAGGTGGAGGAGAGAGGAGGAGGAGGAGGAGGAGGAAGAGCCAGAGCAGGAGGAGAGGAGGAGGAGGAGAGGAGGAGGGAGGAGGAGGAGGAGGAGGAGGAGGAGGGGGAGGGGAGGGGGAGCTGGATGCCAGTCCACCACTGATCAGCCACGGCATTCGCCAACAGCTCTGCACGCACGGCGCGGGCGGCATAACACACGGAGCCATGGGTCCCCTCTGTGGGCGGCCTCGCGGTGGCTGCCTCGCCCGAGCGTCCAAACCCGCTCAGCGGCGTCCGCCTGCTCGTCGTCATGGGTCTGCTGCTGCTGCTCCTGCTGCTCCTTGCCTCCCTCCCTCCCACTCTCTCTTTCCCTCCCTCCTCTTCCCTCCATGAGTCTCCTCCATCCCCCTTCACTCCCTCCCTCCTTCCCTCCCCACTCTCCCCCTCCCCCCCTTCCTCCCTCCCCTCCGTGCGCCTCGTCCCTCCCTCCCTCCCTCCCTCCCTCCCTCCCTCCCTCCCTCCCTCCCCCCCTCCTCACCCAGATCCGCTCAGAACTGTCCCGCGGACCGCTCTCATGG